GAGGGCTGCTGGCGGTCGCTGCCCAAGGCGGCGGGGCTTCTCCGGTGCGGCAAAAGCTGCCGGCTCCGGTGGATCAACTATCTCCGGCCAGATCTCAAAAGGGGGAACTTCACGGAAGAGGAAGACGAGCTTATCATCAAGCTACATAGCTTGCTCGGCAACAAGTAAGTTCCGAATTCTCTTTTATCTTATTTTATTTTTAATTTTTTTTAATTCGGTCAATTTTTTTCAAATTATTATTATTTTTTTGTATGAAAGAAAATATTAATTTAGCGTACATGTTTTTGGTGGATGAAAATGTTGCTCTCGTGACCGGTCACGGTCGATTCACCGCTTTCTTCTTTGTTTGGTTGAAAAAGTGAAGGAAAAATTGAATACAAAATGTTTCTACTTTTGTTTCGCCCAATAATTTTTTTATTTTTTATTTTTTTTATATACAACTATTATTGAACTAGTTTCTTGATGAAAATTTTTATTCAGATATATATTCTTTTCATTCTTATCAATATAATTGAGTAAAAATTACATTTTAATATAGTATACTATTTATCTATTAACAAATTTCCACTAATTTATAGTCCTAAATATGTTACTTTTCTACTAAATTTTCTATTAATTACTTCTTTTTTTTTCATCATTTTTTTTTTCTTCTGAAACATAACTATATGCAATAAACATCCTAATTTTTAAAAAAATACTTAATTTTTTTGTTAATTTTTTAAATTCAGATATTTTTTTTGTATAAAAATAACTTTATTCAAATTAATTTATTTATATATTCATATTTTGTCCCCGAAAAAAAAAATATATATATATAGGTGGTCACTTATAGCTGGGAGGCTGCCAGGAAGAACAGACAATGAGATAAAGAATTATTGGAACACACACATCAGAAGAAAGCTTCTGGGCCGAGGAATTGACCCAACTACTCACCGCCCAATCGTCACCGAGCCCACACCATCACCTTCATCAGCCACAATTTCTTTCTGTGGGCCCAAATCGAACTCCGACTTCAACATTGGGCCTTCGAACAACGATGGCCCAAACCCGATTGGCGAGAAGTGCCCCGACTTGAATCTCGATCTCAGGATCAGCCCGCCCAATCACCAACACAATCAAGACCCGTTGAGTACAGTAGGAATTGGTATTGATAATACTACTGATAATAATAATAATATTGATAGCAGTAGTAGTAATAGTAGTTGTACCGATGGCATCATCGGTGGTACCACCAGTGACTCGGGTTATGATTTTCTGGGTTTGAAAACCGGAGTCTTGGACTATAGAGGCTTGGAGATGAAGTGAAAAATCTGGAAAAAAAAAACTCCCTTTTTGTTTTTGAATTTTTACCTTTTGTCTAGTTTAATAATGATTATAATTATAAAGTTAATTTTGTAAAAGTAGTTAAAATTATAGAGAATGTGATATGGTTGAGTACGTATTTCTATTTATTATATTACCGTCAGATCATCATGTAATCGTCTTGGATAATTGATCTAACGGTTACAAACTCCAATAGAATGATTCCGTAAAGGGACTGTAGCATTTTCCTAAAATAAGTAGTAACAAATATTGCACATTTTTTTTTTTTACTGAATTTATGGAATTCATGTCTCAAAATTGCTCTACACTGATATTATTTGATGTGGACATTTTTTTTTCCCTATCTCTATTTTTTATATTTTATTTTATTATTTTTTTTTCTCTATCTCTCTAGGTGTAGGCTTTTCTTGGGTTTGCAGAGAGTTGGTGGTAAGATCATAAAAGATTGTCCTAAAATAATATTCATCCATTGAAGTTGTGGTTGTTAACTCATGGCAAAAATCTGGTACAAAGGTCATTGAATTTGTGGGACTAAATTCAAGGTAAATGTAATGTGTGTATGTATCCATTTATTGTTCTGGAATATGGACATGTCTTTGCATAAATGCTGGTAATAATGATAATGTTATGTCTTACACACATTTGTTTTCACATTTGAGGTGAAGAAATTACACTCTGGCTCACAAGACAACTAATAGTTGGTGTAATTTGGTTTTTTCTAGATATGCATAATTTGATAGTAGGATGTTATATCTGAAAAATAGTATAAACAAAAGTATGACATATCGATTGCTCATCTCGTGCCGTTGGGACACCGACAAGTGGTCGTTGAAGTTGATAGCCTATGTGTGTTACAAATGGTGCTTGGGCCCAAAGATCACTTTGGAGTTCACGAGTCTTTGGTTAGATCCATTCGAAGTTTAGTAGATAAAGCATGGCGTGTTCGGATCCAGCATGTTCATAGGGATAAACCAACTTTGCGGCTGACCATTTGGCGAGTTTAGTGGCCTCCTATCCTTTGGGTTTCCAGAGAGTTCCGTCACCACCCCAAGGACTAGATGCATGGATTGATTATGATTACCGTGGTGTGGCTCACCCGCGTTAGTGTCGTAGTTTCCAGGCCTTTGGCCTCCATCTTTGTACCGAAAAAAAAACATTCATCTCGTGCCACATCAAAATTGAGTTTAAAACTGAACGTATTTTATTTCATGGATCATGGATGATTGATATGTGTAAGGATTCAACATCGTTATATATATAATTTATCGGGAAAATTTCAAAACTAGTCCCACAGGTATAGGAGGGTGACATTTTTGGTCCCAACGGAATTAAAAAAATATTAATAGTCCCGCAGTTTTTAAAAAATAATCAAAAGTAGGACTTTTTTCAATTTTCCGGCCCGGAATGCCACGTGGCACACATGTGGCGGGACTATTTAAGATTTTATGGATTCTTTTGGGACCAAAAATGTCACCTCCCAAA